CAGCCCGACCATAGAATAGTTAACGTTTAACGAAGTTATAGGCCTAACGTTTATTAATAAAAAGCGCGTTACATACGCGTAGTAATTAATTAACTATATCTTCTATACTATTTAATTTAAATAAGAATACGCGTATAGATAGCTTAAGGACGTACTAAACTATCGTTTTTTCCTTTAGATCCGTTAAATTACGTAAGTTAGCCGGAATATCGCGTTACATTAGTCGGCCATTACGCCTATAGCGGAGGGTTACTTCTGGAACGTTATATAACTTGGCTATAGTGCGGATACTAAGATCCTCCTTATTTTAAATAGCTTCGAGGGTAAGAAGAAATCTCGCTTCTTTTAAAGGGCTGTCCATGGTTATTAGTAGTGAATTGGAGTAAAAGATATTAAAGAGACGCGTTGTGGTGGAAAGTACGTCGCTCGCTTATCTGCGTCGCTCGCTTATTATGCACGTTACCGTGAATATAATTATGAATTGCATACTGCGGAACTATTTATAAGCTATTTAGTTCCTCCGTATATATAGACCTAATGCCAAGCCTGGATCATTCTGTTTTTCCCCGGATTATAACCGACTCCTAAGGATCATAAGTGATTCCTAGGAATCGCTCATGATTCCTTTATGTCCCGGATGATCCACCTTTTATTGGTCCATCCTCCTTTCTCTTAATTAGCTGCGTGCCTCCTCTTCCCTATTAGTTATTCTTTGCGGGTGTCCACATTATATTCGTGACACCAGTTCCTCCGTATATATAGACCTTAGGACCGTAGACCGTTGACTTACAGACGGCCCTCGGTCCACTCCTAATTGGCCGATACTGGACCGTGGACCGTGAGCTCCGCCGCGGTCCCCGGTCCCCATCTGATTAGTCCGTTTGCCCACCTGGACCGTGAGCCCCGCTCGATTGCGCGGTCCAGTCCTGATTGGTCCGTCGTGGCCCCACTGTCTTCCAGAACCGTAACACGTACCCCAAACCAGTACGACAATATATCCTATACTATTTTGTGTAGCTCGTTTAGACGATTCTAATAATAGTTTTTTTTTATTTTTTTAGTAAAGAAAATCTTATCGGATCGTATAACTAAATTCTTAACGGATCCTACCCCCTATTTCTAAAGTGAAGCGTTTTTTTTAGTGCGTTTCTTAACGGATTATACTACAATCCATCGGAGAATAACTGATAGGGAATAGACTCCAGGTAATCCAGTTTACGCCAAGAGAGGCAGGGTGCTGCCTCGGGTATACAGACGAGAGGTACACGTTAAATAGCGAGATCTCGGGAGGAAGGGTGGCACTATGGTGGTGCCCAAGCCTAGATTGCGCGCTACATTTGCGATAGAAAGTTAAGCGATATTATTAGATGGCCGAGCCTAGGGCATTAGCTAAATAACGGAAGTACTATTAAAAGTATACTTAATAAAATACTAAGAAAAACGGAAGATAGGAGGAAGCTAGGCGGGTATGGTTAAAGGACTTCGTATTGGTGGATAATCCGGAGTAGGAGGACGCTCTTAAACGATATAACCGCCTAGGAAACGATTCGCGGCCCTTCGCGGGGGCCGGTAACCTTTAACGGACCACAAACGGTATTTTCGGAAGTATTAATATGTCACGGACCTGATATAAGTGGGGAGCGCGGGGCGCGACCGTCTAACCACTGGAACGGAAAAGTAAGGAAGTCGGATTATCACTAGTGCTAAAAGTAATAATTACGATTATTATTAATCTTCGATAAACGACGAGTAATAATCAATATTATTACTAATAATAATAGTAATAAACCGGTCTATATATACGGAGGAACTGGCTAATATAGATAGATAGTTCCGTAGTATATAATTTAGCTTATATTTACGGTATTTAGTATTTATATTAAGATATCTTATTATACACTATTTAATTGCACCGAACTAATTATTAGAAGTTACCTTTAACTAATATCCCTTTTAGAGGTTCTATATAGAGGTTCGTTATACGTTATATACTTACTTTAAATTTATTATAGATAAATTAAAGGTATTAAGATAATATTATAGCCGGAAACGTTAGTATTTAAAGGGGCTCGACCTAACCTACTATCGATTAGCTTCTCGCTTATATCTAAAAGCTTAAAAATAAATTACGCCTTTTATATAATATCCTTACGCAAGAAAACGCTATACTTTACTAGGAGATTAGTACCTTACGTAAGGAGGGAGAGCGTACTAAGCTCGAGGTACCCGATCGCTATAAAGGTGTGAAAGGAGAGTTAGGAGGATTTTTAATTTAACTTAAAGCTTACTTTAGATACTACCCTTCTCGTTTCCTAGACGAGGAATTTAAAATAGTATACGCCGCGTCTAGGCTTAAAAATAAAGTATTTACTTAGTTCGAGCCGATTTTAGAAAACTACTTTGATAATAAGTATAACGAGAGGGAAAATATTACGAAAAAATACTTTAAATTGTATAAAGATTTTAAAAAAAAAATTAAAAAAGTATTTAAAGAATATAATAAAGGTAAGCGTACCTAAAAGCGACTAACTAACCTTAAGTAAACTCGATTTACTACCGATTATACTATAATATTTAAAATAAATATATTCCGTAATATAATTAACGATAAAGGATTAATATAATTTTTTTATAACAAGCTTAAAGAAGAACTTAAAGATAAGCTATATCGAATAAAGTAACCGGAGATTATCGATAAATATATTATAATAGTAATTTATATTAATAATTAATAATATTAATACCGTAAAAAACGTAAAAATATATATATATAAGGACCCTATTACTTTAACGATAAAAGGAAAAAACGGTTATACGGGATTTACGTTTTAGAAACTATATACGTAAAGCTTATAGAAATTAATATTATTTAATAATAAAAGTTATAAAATTAAAGTAAAAATAATTTTAAATATTTTAATTATAGTAAAGTAAAATATTTTAAAAAGAACTATAAAGTATCTAAGGAACTCAAATAGAAAAAAAAGATTATAATAATTATTATATTAAAGGAATTAAAAATTATAAAGGTTATAGTTATCGGGTACTAATAAAGTAAAGTAAAGAACTACTATCGGATATATATATAAAAGAATATTAAGTACGTAAAAAACGGAAAATAAAAGGAAATTAAGTAAGTATAATTAAAAAACTTTATATTATTAAATAACCCAGAGTAAAAAAATACGTTTAAATAATATAACCGCTTAGGAAACGACTTACGGCTTTTCGCGGAGGCTAATAACCTTTAACGGACTATAAATAGTATTTTCGTAAATATCGGTGTAAAGCGAAGGTATAGAATAATAACCCGGTATTTGTTAGCGAGGTCGCTACTATATAAGAAGGAAATAAAAAAGATAAATACTTTTAAATTATAGTATAATAAAAAGATATTTAGGTAATAATATTAATAAACGGAGGTATAAAGACGAATTTAATTTCGTTATAGTTTGTATATTAAATTAGGATACTATAAAAAAAAAGAATAAATCGTTATATAAAGATTATTTTTAATATAAAGAGTTTATAAAAAAATATTACCTTTAGATATTATAGTTGAAGGAAAAATAATTTTAATTATATTTAATATTATAAATATAGGACCCTAGAAGGATATAATCCTAAAATAATTATAGTATAAAGATTATAATTTAAATATCGATTAGAAGGATAATAGTTATTTATAATTAAAAAAGTTTTAAAAGTATTTAATTAACGATAGGAAATTAGGCGTACGTATAGAGTAAAGTGTAGGATAAGTATCCTCCACGGTACTACCGTAAAAAACTTAAAAAGTAATAGTATATTTTATTAATATAGGTAGTAAAATCGAAGAAGTAAAGTTAATAACGTTAATAGAGATATCGGAGGTTAATAAATATATTTATTATAATAATATAAAAAAAAGTAAGAAAAAAGTAATATTAATAAAATATCGAAGATATTTAGCCTTTACGGCTAAGTATTTAGAGGGACTTTTAAAGCGAAGGCTATAGGATTACGAAATTAAATTAAAAGAAGGAACTAAGTTACGGCTATTTAAAGTTTATTATACTAATAATAAATAGAGTAAAGAGTTATAGAAATATTTAAATAAGAATTTAAAGAAAGGATATATTAGGGAATCTATATCGTTAATAAGATACTTCGTATTCTTCGTACTAAAAGGGATAATAATTTATAATTATATATAAATTACCGTTAATTAAATAACGAAACGGTAAAAAATAATTACCCGCTACTATTAATATTTAAATTATAGAGTTAATTAATTAAAGTATAATACTTTATACGTTTAAATATATTTATCGGGTATAGCTATATATAGATTAAAGAAAAAGATAAATAAAAAATAGCGTTTCGTATACCTTATAATTATTTCGAATATCTCGCAATATTATTTAAATTAATTAATACGCCTATAACGTTTTAATCTTTCGTTAATTATATAATCCGGAAGTATTTCGATAAAATAATAATATACTATCTTAACGACGTTCTTATTTACTTACGTACGCTAAAGGAGTATAAGCGATACGTATGAAAGATACTCGACGCGTTATATAAAACCGGATTTTTAATTAATAAAAAGAAAAGTAAGTTTTATATATAAAAAATAATTGTTAATGTGTGGGTACTACTAAGTACCCTACTTACTGCCCTACAGATTAATATTACAGTGGGCAATACTGCTATAAGCAGTAATAGAACTTCCCGGCTTGGATCCCTTTAGAATATTCTTTACAAGGGACCCTTAAAGGCTTACAGAGCTACTGTGGCCTAAGGCTTAGTCAATGGATACTAAAACCTTCCAAAGTAGCTACAGGCTTACGTAGTAAGTTGCCACAATAGTGTGATTTACAGGGCACCTCTGCTACCGAAGGTTCTATAGATTTCCGTGAGTCTACACTAGACCCACCTAAGCCCACCAAATACCCCAAAGTGGTATAGGGGCTTCCAGGGCCTACAGGACCCACAGTAGGCCTACGAAGGCCTATATATAGACCTCTCCTCTCTCCTGTAAAATAGTTCTCTTTCTTTCCTTAAGGGCAAAAGCTTAAGGCTAAGGCCAAAGGCTAAAGCCAAGGGTAATAAAGGCAATTCTTATTCTTTATACCTCACTGTATTACAGTGCTTTACCTTCCTTCGGCACTGCCGTCGTATCCTCCCGCTTCCGCTTGTGCACTACTATATTTTATAGCAACCCTATATAGGTTCTATATTATAGGCCTATCAGGGCTTACCAGCTAACAGAAAGGATACGGAAATACTATATTATTAAAAGGCTCGAGGGACCTTGCTTTCAGGGGGGAGATATAATATTCCTTTTTATACGTAATTTACATACTAAAAGATTTAATAAAAAGCTAGACTATAAGAGAGTAGGCCCGTTTAAAATTAAAAAAAAAAATATTAAAAACGGTATTTAAATTAAAGCTATTTAATACGATATATTTATAGTTATATACTTTTTATATTTTACTTTTGGAACCCGTATTACCAGTAAATAAAACTAATATATAGGTAATAGCGGAGGACGAAGAAGAAAAGTATAATATAAAAAAGATACTGGATTTACGGTTTAATAAAGGTTAATTAAAGTATTTAGTTAATTAGTTAGAATACCCGACTATAAATAATTTATCGGAGTTAAAGGTAAATTTTAATTACTTAAATAAGTAAAAAGAATTCTATTAGCGATACTTAGACCGACCCAAATATAAACCTAAATAAAAGATCTATATTAGAATTACTTAGAGAAGTAACTTTAATATAAAAGAACCTCGATAAGAATCGAACCTACGCCTTCGACGTAGTAGTCGACGTACCATACTACGAGGTTAGAAGGTATAAGGGGGACTAAATATAAGTAGCGCTACGCGCTTTAATTACCTTAGGAAGGGGAAGGCGCGCTAGCGGCGGTATTTTAGGCGGTTAAAAAAGAAGGACCGGCTACGCTAGGATCGAGGGAAAGGTTAAGCGGCTAGTCGAAGCCTGAGGAAGGATCTAGGAAAGAGAAATCGGAAGGTATAGTAGGGGAGGACTTTACTACGGGACGGTTCCGGGGATTTAGAGAAGCGGGGGCCGGAGGAGAAGCGTCGTTAAATGACGAGGCAGACTATGCGGCCAACGCGGCTTCCTCCTACTTAATACGCTCCAGCTCTTCCACACTATCGAGGCCACGAAAGACAGCCGTAACTATCCGCTTAAACTATATTCGTTTCTATAAACGTAAACGGTTAATTTTTTAATTTAAAGCGGTACGTTAAAACTTAGTTTTTACTATCTCTATCTTTAATTAATTATATTAAATCATAATTTTACGGAGCTATTAAACGGATAACCTACGAGCGTTATAAAGGATTTAATTATATTATATATAAGTAGCGTAACGCTTGGAAACGGAAGGGGAATTTTTATAAAAAGAATTATATTTTTTATAAAAGAAATAAGTACGTTTTATAATAATAGTAAACCGTAGGACTATAGTAAATAGCTCGTTACAATCCGTTATTTTCGAGTACAGAAGTTTAGTACCGGGTCGCGCCTTACTTATATAATTAAATATAATAAAGCGTAATGAATAAGGAAAAAAGAAGAAAATTTATAAATATTAGCGGACGTAGGAGAGTAAATTAAGCCGACGGGACTTCGGCCTAAGAGGGGGAGCGTCGTATTACGGCTTAACACTTAGCGGGGCACAGGCGTACTGCAAACTAATTATTAAAATAGGATTAAGGACTAATTAAAATAAAATTATTAAGATCGAGGATCGATCCAAAAAAATTAATCCTAAAATAAATAGTATCGATGGGATCGATATTCGAGTCTATCGATCCAGGACGGTACTAGGCTTAATACAGGGTGAGGTACCCATCGGAGGTAACTAACTAGCGTAAATAAATAGTTCCGCAGTATATAATTCCACAATTATATTTACGGTATCTTATATTTATATTAAAATATCTTATTATGTACTATCTAGCTATACCGAACTAATTATTAGAAGTTACCTTTAACCCGTATCCCTTTTAAAAGTTCTATATAGAGGTTCGTCACACATAACGGAAAAGAATATATAGAGTAGCTTTATAGGTATTAACTTTATACTATACGATCCAGAGAGGGTGCCTTTTAAACTAGATATTAAGCTTCGTACGCTAATACCCCCGACCTTACGGCTTAGTACTACGTAACTTTAAGTTTTTTAGATACTATATAACCCTCGAGAAGCCGAATAGCAATTAACGTTTATTAAAACTTATATTATTAATTATTAAAATAGCTTCCTAATTTCGATATTAATTACTATAGATTAACTTACTAAGGGTATAATAGCTATAATATATCGAGTGGCTCTCTTCGAGTTAGAGGTCGCTTCGCTCTATAAAGCTAACAAGGTATTAAGTAAACGCCGGAAAGCTAAAAAAATACGCGTACGTCTCGGAGGATTACTTACTATGTAGGATATATACGATCTACTAGATAATAAGGCCGTAAGTGGAGAGGGAGTGTAAGAAACGTAGCCGGATAGTAGTAGTGCAGGGGGGTCTTATACGAAGGTTCGGTGCTGTGGTATATGCGGCAAGCCTAACTATAATGCGCGCACTTACTAGGAGGCTAGAGAATTATCTAATATATTTATTATAGAGGAAATTATAGTTAGTTACTAGTATTATATATAGGAATTAAGGATAGTTATTGGTAGGTAAGGGAGAACCCACGGCTCGGTTATACCCACGACTCGCTTATAAAATACGTTATAACCTTTTGCTTAGAAATTTATGTCTCACCTTTTCCATTATTCTCCGATGAAGGAACCCGGCTTCCGCCCCCCTGAACCCCTGAACCACCCCTGAGCCCCTGAGCCCATAAGCCCTGCCAAGGCACGGCCCTGAGCTATAGGCTCCTAACTTTAAGCAAGTTGCAATTCTGTGCTTAGTTGAAGATTGAAGGAGGGGAGGACTTTCTGTTAATTTTAAATAGAGCCTGGGATGGTGTGCTGATCGATGAACGATGAATAGAATGGTAGAACCTGACGATGTATCTAGATATTTGACACAGTACACCCAGATATAAGAACTGTTACCCAGGCTCTGAGACTAACAGGCCATTCTGCATGCACTCCGTCATCAAGTTTTGTCCCTCTCTGCATGTAAGGCACTCCAAAATCAACTAATCCAGCTGGTCATTTTTAGACATTTCCGCGCTGGGGGTACTGCTATCGCCAGTTTGATATATCGTACGCCTTATCGAGAGCCCCTGATTGGCACCCGATAACATGAATACAACCCGGAAATACAAAACTCGAATCCTCAAGATAAGGGCATGCGGCTTGTCGGAGGGCGGAGCAGCTGCCAGTGTCATTTTCCCTGCCACGCACAGAAACAAATGCCTTCACCATTTCCCCGGACTGATCCTCATGCCTTCCTGGAGCCCCGCGGAGATGACATCTGCGCCTCAAGTACCGACAGCTTTCACCATCAAGCAACGTTCCGGACCCAAACCAGATGTTTTATACAAGATCAACAAGCCCCTGGCGTATCTTTATCTTTGCCAAGCCCACCTGTCCTCCTCGACCAATGGCCATTCTCACCTCAGCCCCTAGCACCGAAACAGATAAGCTACCCTGGTCTGCGACCGAACTTGGCTGGGCTTGCCCAGGAAAAGAATAGATAAGGCTGACCTTGTTCCGCCACGATCTCGGCGTGGGGTCACGAGCGCACAGTTCACGGCAGCGAAAAATGGCGGAGATGTTTCTTTTCTCTCTATCTGGCGTGGACTTCCCGGAGATCTTTGAAGCAGGGAGACATATCGAAGGCTGCTCGTTCCAAGAAATAAATGACTGGATTCAACCTCTCCAAAGATATCATGACTCTTTTCGGCATTCGGGGGCACTCACACTCGACCTCAGCTCCGTTAGCGAAGCCTTTTCATCACCTTGAGTACAAACACAGCCGCGACTGCAACAACATATCAATCTAATCAGGGACCACTTCGGTATCAAAAACACCGCCATCATGGGTTTGAAGGCCTCTTCCTTATGGGAACGCCCAGTGCTTAATTCGGTCAACAAAAAGGCCCGCAGCGTGCCTATTTTGAACCCAGTCGACCCGCATGGCCGTGTATTTTTCTTTTCGTGGATGGGTTTCATGCTTTCATTCTGGGCGTGGTACACATTCCCACCTCTTGTTGGTTCCCCATCGTCTCTTTTCTTCATGCAGAGGTGATATTAACCAGGAGAGCACAGTTGACTGTCACAATCAGACAAGACCTTAACCTCACCAAGGAACAAGTCGCCAACTCCAACATTGTTTCTCTTGTCGCCACTCTTGCAGTGCGATTCATTGCTGGTCCACTATGCGACCAGATTGGCTCCCGGAGGGTGTTCAGCTTGATTTTGCTAGCAGGAAGTGTGCCGATTGGCTTGGCACCGTTGATCAAGGACGCAACTGGTCTTTACATCATCCGTTTCTTCATTGGAATCCTCGGCGGGTCGTTTGTACCTTGCCAGGTGTGGTGCACGGGATGGTTTGACAAGAATGTGGTGGGAACAGCCAATGCCCTGAGCGGAGGTTGGGGAAATGCTGGAGGTGGAATCACATACTTCATCATGCCTGCTGTGTATGACTCTTTGAAGTACCGATGGGGGCACAGCTCTGGGCAGGCTTGGAGGATCACCTTTGTGGTGCCGCTCGTTTGTCTGATCATCTGTGGACTGGGGTTGCTGTTTTTGTGCGATGATACGCCAATGGGGAAGTGGTATGTTGATCTCTTCTCTGCTCGTGAATTCGTTTCTGGAAGGTGTTTGGTCTGACAGTTTGCATAGGGACGATAGACATCAGCATGTTCAGGAGAACCTCAAACAGCACGGCGTGCAAGGAGAGATTGTGGCCGTTCCAGGTACCATCACTGGCCAGCCCCCAATTCTCTCAGCTACCCCATTAGCCGACGAGGAAAAAGGTGAGAAGCTGTCTTCTTCTGAGAAGAACAGCATTTCAGCCTTTGACCACGAAGCCTCACTGTCAAAAGCCGAAGCCATCGAAACTGCGCAAGGTGAAACCATCGCCAAACCCACTGTCAAGGAAGCAGTCTCTGTGTGTTTTAGTCTCCACGGCCTCTTCCACGTCGCGACGTACGCATGCAGCTTCGGTGGAGAGCTTGCCATCAACTCAATTCTCGCATCATACTACCTGAAGAACTTTCCCACGCTAGGTCAAACCAATGCGTCAAACCTCGCGGCAATCTTTGGCTTTCTCAACTTTATAACTCGACCGCTCGGTGGAGTTGTCGGAGATCTGCTTTACAACTACTGTGGAAGAAGCCTTTGGTTGAAGAAGATCTGGATCCACGTTTGCGGGTTGATGACGGGGGTGTTGCTCGTCGTCATTGGCATATTGGATCCCCACCATTTGCCTACCATGGTTGGGCTCATAATCGTCATGGCCGTCTTCCATGAGGCCGGCAATGGTGCCAACTTTGCACTTGTCCCGCATGTTTACCCCTATGCGAACGGCATTCTATCCGGGCTCACCGGAGCTGGTGGAAATCTGGGCGGCGTGGTCTTCGCAATCATCTTCCGCTTCATGGATGGCGGCAGTAACTACGCAAAGGCATTCTGGATCATTGGGGTGTGTCACATCGTCTTGAACCTAGCTGTTTGTTGGATCCCACCAATTCCGAAAGGTCAGGTTGGCGGCCGTTAGGGTCTACCGCCTTGGAGAGTATAGAGTATCGCAGCTAGCCCAAATACTGTTCATGCTTCGTTGTTCTATATTGTAGATTCTGTGGGAAGGCACGATGGGCCCACTTGTGGGTGTTTAAATTGGCGACTTTCGGAGCAAGAGATAGCAGAGAAAGACAACAATCTTCATCCCCTTCAATTTGACTACTTGATACCATACACCTTGTGATAAGAACCCACCTCACTGAACCACAATTCCTGACTTGAAGTTCTACCCTGGCTACCTACTCCTCCTGGCGTGTCATGGACACGGCGTATGCAACCAACTCCACAGCCGTTGCCCTTCCTTGGCTGTCCAGTGTGAATACAAAATGGTCTTGTGCTTGCAGCATATAGGTTGCGCGGTCCAACTGCCCCCATGTGACACACAAAGACTGGGGCGGCAACAGTTGACTTTCTATCAAGGCAATCGTCTCAGGAGTAGCAGGCTGTGCTACAGACCTCCACGAAGCGTGGCTGTCAGTCTGTACGGTGGTTGGGTAAAGTCGAAAACGCAGCGGGCTGTCGGTCGGGGGAACTGGGTTCGGGACGAAGCTGAGTCCGGACCACGAGCCAATGACATCCACACCCCTAACAATCCACGAGCTTATATTGAACCCTGGACCATCATCCAGTGTCAGAGTGATGCTCGAATTTGTCAGCTCGTCTCGATAGGTTCCGCCATGTGTGAGCGCAGCCTCATCCTTGCCGGCTTCCTCGATACCGGGCAAGAGAGACTCTAACAGTTTCGAGAATATGATCCTGGTATCGATGGCGGTTGCTTCATTCTCCACGAGTGGAGCGGCGACCAAAATTGTGGCGACAAGATCATAATCCGGAATCAGAGCAAAGACTGAATTGTAAGTAATGAGACCACCATCTTTGGTATAGAGCTCAATGAGACGGCCATCTGTCGTGACGTTGCTGATTCGGTAAATCTCCCATGGCGCACCAATCAGAGTACCCAAGGAGGATGTTTGCGACAGCGGCTTGAGCCATTTTCGTGTCTGAGTTGCTGACAGTCCTACATCGTTTCGCAGTATGGCCTCTCCAAAACGTGTGAGGTCATTGATTGAAGAATAATACCCGCCACCGCTAGTAGATTATGCCTACCGTCAGTCAACTGTACGTAATTCGGCGTCAAGAGAAGGTGTCTGTAAGGTACTTACGGCTCTGCATATCCAAGACTGGCATTCCACCAAATGTCATCGGTGGGAATGAAGCCAACAGAATCGTCTGGCTTGGTGGCAAAAGTAGATGTCATGTTGAGTGGTGCCCAGACTTCATGCTGCACAAAGTCCCTGAAAGACCTGTTTGTGGCAGACTCGAAAGCAAAACCGAGAATGGCGAATCCCGCGTTCGAGTAAACAGCGTTTGGGGAAAATGGGAGCTGGACCGGAGCCCGTTCGCCAAATCGTTCAAAAAACACTAGGAGGGCTTGTCAGAAGCTGAACAAGGAATCAAGTTAGGTGCTTGAAATCACGAAGTACCTGTCCTGTCGCATTCGGGGAGACCCAAGCCACCTGAACAGCCCAGAAGCTTTGATTTGTTTACAGGGGGAAATCCGTATGGTGTAAAGTTCCCATATGGAGTATAATCGAAGATTACTGTGACAAATAGGTAGTGAGTATGCTATTCATATCTAGCTCTGTCACGTTTCGTTTTGAATGTTAACTTACTGTCTGCACCAATACCTGACAAATGCGATGCCAGAGCCCCAAGAGTAATTTCGTCCCAGGGAATAGTCCAAATGGGGCTTTGCTCTCTGGCTTGCCCGTTCAAAGCCAGCAGCTCAGGAACATATTTGGTGACTGGGTCATCGAGACTGACACCATGGAGGCGCAAAAGGCCCAAAACGGGAAATATCTTAGAAACGCTCGCGATGCGGAAAACGGTATCGGAGTTGACCTCCTGGACACCACGAGCATCACGGTTGGGCGGACTGTACGCATACTCGAGGATGTAGTCTTTTTCATGGATAGACTTCAGACCAATTGCCACGGCAGAATGGTTGAATTGAGCAGTGTAAACGTCCAAAAACCGCTGGAGTGTAGCCACCGAAGAGGCAACTGCCGGACTGCTGCTTGCATGCGTCGGAGGAGGGAGGACGGGACCTAAAGGTGGGCAATGTTCCCTAGGTGCTGCCCATGAAACTCGGATGTAGGTAGTGATCGAAACGAAGAGTAAAAGACTGATGGGCTGCATTTTCTTTGCAGTCTAGGGAGCTAACTCTGGCCCTGAGTGTTATCAGACTGCAGTGGTGCTCTAGTCTTGTACACGGATGTCCAAGTTGAACATTTCGCGGAGGTGGATCTCCTCGGCTAGCAATATAATGTGTTGGTTTAATCTGACTGGTGATCTCGGACTTTTCGTTTGCTGTGAAGCAGGTCAGTCGAGTGCGCTGACGACACTCTTGTGCCAAGCATGGCTGAGTGATGACAATTAATTAACTCACAGCAACGCTCTGCATCCCTGGTTAAAAGCCCAAGAGACACGTAAAATCTGCCTAATTGGGGTTCAAGGATTGTCGGATGCAGAGTTTGGAGCCGTCACAGCCACAGAGGTGAAGCGTCATGGCCAGGGCTATCGGGTACTCGAAATCTTCAGAAACATTTTAAACGTTGGATTGGCTACCCTGCAAATTTACTTTCCTCCACATGGAGATCTCGAGCCCAGAATATGGCGCTCAATGGAAAGCATAAACACGTAGGCTTGAACCCTTTGGTATTTGATTGACAGCCCAGGGGTCGACACCATCAAAGCAGCAGCTGCCAATGACAGCGTAATGCTCTACTCCGATCACCGGGCCGTGCATTGGCAAGCGGTCAAGGTACTGGGGGTGCTTCTCACCCGGCTCCTGAAGAGACTGACGGCCGTTCAGTTTGAACATTAGATCCTCATGAATCCCCTTCTCCTCTTCTGGCTCGACCTTGACCGGTCGTACTACTAGGGCTACTTGACACCCCAGAATGTTCACAATGCAGTCCTCTTTCTGAGCCTGTGCTGGAACTAATCCAAGCTTTCCGTCATGGGTTGTAGCAAGTCGACGTCCATCTAAGCTGCTCGCGGTCGCTTTGGGATGTAGGTATGTCCACATGATGTACATGAGATCGTTGCTTTCGCTGGTGACAAAGATGCGTGACTTCCCCAGTTGCCCTTCGGTCCATGTTCGAAGAGATTCGATAAACTGTTCATGTTGGTGTGGGGGATCAGTTGGGCATGTTACCGGAAGGTGCTCAAGAAATCGAGCCCACTCTTCAAACAGCCCCCTGCACAACTCCAGGTGTTCCTCCTCGCGATTCCGAATACTGACCATTGCATGCTGGCCGCTCGAGTCGCCCCTGTAGTAAACTCCTCCAGTGCTAATGTAGAGAGCGGCAATCTTGCTGACCGTGTCTTGGTAGCTAACCATGCCTTGGAGGTCAAGAGTAGACGACATCGGAAACGTAGCACTGACGTCCTTGATGGTGCCCACAGAGTGTCCCACAAGTCCAAGAATATTATGCTTTTCGAGAAAGAGGGTTGGCGCTAACAATACCCGCGCATGACTGAGTTTGTTGCTCTTGTACATTGGCGCACAAGGGGATGGCACCATACGCCAGTCAGGAGCCCAGGTTGGTATCTCGCCGTTGGTCACTCCGGCTTGTTGATCGAGTAGAGTAATAAGGGTCTCCACGTCCTCAGTCTCCAGGATGTAAAACGCCATTCGGGCAAATACATGCCCCAGAGCAGAACAGTAATCAACGGGTACGCTTTGTGCAACATTCCACTGGTCAGAGGCAATACCCAGGTGAGCAAACACAAAGTCCCTCGCATCTGTGGCACCCAGACCACGTCTTGCTTTGAGAAGAGCGAGCATGTTGCCGGCATTGTTGCCTCCGCCTCCGTTGATGTATGATCGATTCATCCTGTCCAACATCCGCAACGGCTCTTCCCCATCATCGGGCTTCCCTCTACTCAGAGAGTTTGGACCATTGTGCAAGAGAAGGTGGCAAAAGTCCTTCCAGCGAACACGACGGCGGCCGATTTGGACCCAAGGATCGCGAGACAGGATGAGTTCCTGAAAGATCCACACACGAAAGAACCATGGCCTGTTGAGAATCTCAAACTTGGCTGCTTGAACTATTTCGTGTCGTTGCGATTGGTTCCAGCTGGGGTAGAAATTCATTGACGAGTGAGGAGCTGACTGAAGCACCCTGTCTGTTTCCGGGGTAGAGGGGCCGAGAAAGATGACTGTGTGACCTGCAACCCTGTAGATAAGCCCCATGAGGCCTACTTGGCTATTGCGCTCTGGAATGTTGGTTTGGTCGATGCAAAGGGCATCGGCCCAAATTCGACGTGGGCGGGTGTCATCGCGCAGGTCTCGCAGGGCAGCAGCAAGCGTTGCTGTTATCGTGAAGACATGACCGGAAAGAGTCAGCGTTCCTGTCAGGGTGGGATCACCCCACACATAAGAGAGGGCCGTATAAGCTTCAATTAGTTCATAGTCACAATCCTCGAGGGTTGTGTGGATGAGCGTGCCGCGCAACTCTTCATCCTGGTCTTTGGAAGGCTCCAAGATCAGAAGTCGAATAGCATTCGGTGAAGACAAATGCTGATAGCGAAAGGTTCCAGGGTCCATATCTTCAAAATTGACTGTTGGCAGAAGATATACCTCCTTTGTAGTAAGTTATCGTATTTGCCCACACTTGGGCGTCGATATCAGGCATCGACGCACTGACGCCTCCTCTGCTATTACCCCTACTCGACATGCCCCACTTTAGCGTGGGGTTTCTGCTCCACAGCAATAAGATCATGATTTCTGTTTTCACCCTATAAAGATAGTAGATAGCCTCCCTTCGTGTACCTCACATACCAGTTTGCTCTGTATTCATACATGTAGTCAAAATAACACGAATTTGCACCAATTCCGGTCCCGCGATTCCATGTTGGAGTACGGAAGTGCCTGTATTGTTCTGCTTCACCGTGGCACTTCATGACCAGCCCAGTGACACTCATGGTCTCCCGACCCACAGATCCACCACCGTCTCTTCTTTTTGGGCAATGGCTTCTCACACGTTGCGCAGAGTATTCTCCTGACAAGTGTCTTGGCCAACATCTTCTGCTCCCTCTCTTCCTTGATCTCACGTATCCGGTCTGGCTGCAGTTGGGAGCATCCCTGGCACAGATTTACAGCCTCTTGAATGGTATTTGTTTGTTTGAGAGAACATTTATCATGCTGCAGGGAAAGATTTGTGGGGTTGAAGGCAGCTGAGAATGCAGCAGGTTTCGAGGAACTTTTCACGAGATAGCAGCTCGTGCAGATGGCGTAGCAACCAGTGATGTGGCACCTCGTCCGCGGAACAGGGATTCCTTTGACCATCGCCATGCAGTCCTTACGAGTGTCAACGCGCGTGACAAGCCATGCCTTCGGGGTTGACTTACTTTGCAGATGATGGCATCACAAGCCCAGCACTGGCTTTTGTTTTCGCCGCAGCATATCTTGGCCAACATCTCGAGATGCTGCGCGATGACGAAGTCTTGCGATTTGTCCTTGATAACGCTGATCAGGTCCGAATAGTGGGGATGCTGTTCAATCTGCTTGGAAATCTCGTCCGTCAGATCTTGATCTCGCTTTTTCACCTCTCCGAGCTCGATGTCTGTTTGTTTTGACGTCTTTCTAACAATACGTATCGTTAGATAGATTGCGTAGCGGATAGCATTAGGAAGGTTAACCCAGGGTAACAACAAAATGCCTTGAGCAAGGATGAGGACGCTATCATTCGTCATTAGCTCAACTTCAAGTTGTTGTTGGTGACCAGATGACTTTGCACTTACATTGTTACCGCTGCCATGACGTGAATTGCGATACCCCGTCGACAAGCTGTCCAGTTGTCATTGTCTCTGTATGCAACCCTGATTCCCGAAATGAATTTGGAATTTTGATAGGATGGCTGGCTGCAGTGGTTCATGTTCCAGGGCACGAAGGTGCTACTGACGGCAACCCCAGCTATCAGAGAACCCGCCACCATAAGATCGGTAATAAGAACGTAAAGGTAGAGGCTGCTCCTTGTTCTCTCTTTTCCTGGTGCCTTTCGCTTGATGCATCCCAGGAGAATCCACATGAGAAATGTCCAAACAGCCGAGAACACGCCCTGTCACTGTTAGATGTATTCTCACGCGTTGCTTTTGCAAGACTGCACGACTATAGCGACTCACGACAATTGCCAAAATACCATAGCTAGCGTTTAGGCGGTCCAAGTATAATTGAAAGTCTCTGGGATAATGCCGGTTCCGAATTGCAACGTATAATCTTGCTGCCAACGCTGCTGAAATTGTGTAGGGGATTACACTCAGAAGTCTGAGTGTAGAAAGGGCGGTCCGATTCCGTAGGCCCACAATTGTAAGAAATAATATGAAGGCTGAAAACACAGAGTGTGCAATGAGGTGATCGTAGATCACTTGGACTTCTTCAGCCATGTCGCCGACAAGGTGCCAACAGGTATCATGGAGAAAGAAGTTACATGGCAGAGGTTTCTCAACAACACTCTTGTGGTGTGGTCTGGTCTCTTGCGAAAGACGGCAGATATCCGCCAGAGCCTTGTGCGGGGAACTCCAGTTTCTGGGGCTGTGCCAGGGTTCACGACGCCCGGTAACGCTGCAGGCTCAATTGACGCTTTAGTCACCGATATTCCCTTTCGGGCATCCAGCACACGGCAGCGTGGGAGCAATGCCAGTCCGCCGAATCTGCCCTGGCTTGCGCTATTGCACAATCTCTGGTCAGCTATGTCACTGGTCCTTCAGCCACTGGGCCTTAGGTTTACATGCCAATCTGGCTTTTACACTCACCCAGGTTACTACCTGGGTAAGCATGTCGATCTTGTGATAACGGAGACCTGTACTTTCATTCTCCAACACTCTTCGATACTCTGTGCCTGTCCAAACACCAACTCGTTGATCCGAGAAAATGACGCTCGCCTGTCGAAACACTCAAGAAGTCCTTCACAATGGCAGCAAAGCTGTCCTTCGCACTTGCATCAACAATACAATAAACCCACCCTACCAGTCTGCCCGCAACCCTGAAGAGGAACCCGTTATTCCAGACACCACCGTATTTGAACAAGACAATGCGTCGCTTCCACTAGCCCACGCTGAACGACTCCCAACCGTCGCTGAATGCGCCATTCACCTCGAGCTTCTCGAGACGCTCTTTCATCTGCGCCAACAAATTCTTCAATCTGGGGATATCGACAAAACGATGGGCACAACTCCAAATCGCCAAACAAAGACAGGGTACAACGGTGACACCAAGACGTTCAAAGATGACACTCTTGAGTCACGCAGGCAAACCAAGTGGCCGAGATTTATCGAGTTTGCCGTCGTTAGGTTTCTGGATTGGCGTGCTCGGCTAGCCAAGGAGGGTGATAAGGGTGATGCGTTTACACTCCCACCGCTCGACGTCATTATGGTGTGGCACACGTTCCTACTGAACCCGCTGTTGTTCAACAAGCACTGCCGCACCGAGAAGCTTTACGAGTTTCCATTGCCGTGGCAAGCTATCCACAAGTGCATCAACAACGGTGACTGGTCTTTTGCCCCCCAGGCAGAAGCTGGTGCTGATTCCCTCAGCTTGTTTGAACTCTTTTCCACCTGGGACTCGTATCTGGCAGACCAAAGAAGCGATGTCAAGTCCAAACTCAGCCTTGCGTCGATAGGGACAGACTTGTTCGACACGACCCAGACAGACTCAGCCTCGGCTACTCGTACTTCCAACTTCCCTTCAATTTTGAGCTCTCTAACGTCGTCGTCGACCAGAACCCAAAAGCCACAACATATAACGAGGGAGGATCTGGAGACCCTACCAGCAACAAACCCAGTCCGCGCCCACGTTGAGATGTTCCTCTCCGTTGATGTCAACCTCGCTCGAGAGCTCAAGGCTGCAGTATTGCGCCAGAACTCCTTTGTCGACAAAATGCACTCTCACCTATGGATACGTAGCCCCTCTCTTCAGGACACACTCGCTCGATCACTCTCACGCTACTCACAATTCCTGCTTTTGATGAGGCGAAACCGTGGAAAGATGATGGTTCCCACGCTTGACATTGATTTAGCATGGCACACACATCAATGTGCGGCATCCGGATATGTCCAAGAGACCAAGAAGAGAGTGGGGAGGTTCGTCAACCATGATGACAGTATTGGGAAAGGGGACTTGGACACGGGGTCCGGAGAGACTAGACGGCTGTGGCGGCTTCAATTTGGCGGCGAGTATCATATTTGTGGTTGTTGGGATTGCGAGATGCTGACAAGTGAGATCGAGAAGGAGTTCAAGTACCGTGGTGGAGCCGATGACGAGGATGAAAAATATCAAATTGACATGCAGGCAGTGGCAGAGAGAGTTGACAACAAGGTAAGGTTTTATCGTGCGGTTGAGGCAGCTAGGAGGAAGGGTCATGCACTTCCGGTCATGCCGAGGTCACAAAAACCCGAAAGAGTGTTATAGAATCTTTGTTTTGGTTTACTTGAGGTATTTCATTCAATTTCTAAGATTCAGTACCGATGTTTCCAGAACCAGTTCACCTAAACTTGTGTTCAAGGATGAGGAATCGTCCCAGAGCTGCGTCGCCAGCATCTCCATGCGCTCAATGTACGCCTTCCTCCTGTGGGTCGAAATATCACAGAACAACAACTTTGCAAATTCCTGTGGTGATACCTTGACCGCCTTGAGTGTCGGTACCACGATTGTGGACGCCTGCGAAAGCGCATCGTCCCCCTGGACGGACGGTAGGTCGACGAGATGCAGCTTGAGCACAACGATGTCTCCCAAAAGATGAAATGTTGGCAAACGGAGTGGCCAGGACTTTGAATCACGCTCTGCTGTTGCTGCGGAACTGTTGAAAACCGGTGGCAGACCGTGGCGAGATCGATAAAGGTCGACAACTGACTGGAGATATGGTCCGTCTGCTCGGGATATCATGTCGTACTCATTGACTATTGACAGCAACACACCAATGCTGGAGCTGTCTTTACAGATGTCAGTGAGGCTAATGCTGGTAATGGGCGGTGACCCGAAGGTGACGAGGGAGGGTTTGCAGTTGGAAACTGGCACGGCGGTTAGCAAACATTGTGACTGGACTTGCTCTGGGGTGTCACTTGCTCCATGGATCGGGGTTTTGCTGGAATAGAAAGTGGAGAAACACAAGAGATGCTACTGCACCTCCAGCAGAGTGGCCAGTGAAAACGATGTTGCGTATCTTTTCGTCTGCAAGCAGTTGCTGCCTGACGTCTGCGGTAACGGTGGGTATCATGTCGTGAGCACAGCCGAGGAATCCGGCATGGGCCTGGACATTGACCCGCTGTCCCTTTGAGAGTATCTTCTGGTTTCGTGTAAGCATGGTGTTAGTCTTGCGGATGGTTGGAACATACGAAAAGTGTGCTGGCATCCTTGGGCTTCCCATTCATGTTCACCATGTGGTCCATGACGGTTGCCGTTCCTCGAATGGAGACTACCAACGTTTTCCCACTCCACCCTGGAATCGGGGTGAACGGGATCTTCCACATTGAGTAAGCCTTGACGGTACCCATCGAGGACGGGCTACGGTGCAGCACAGGTTCGATATCGAACCCCTTGACACCAATTGGTTGTGTCTGATCGTAGACCATAACCGCACACTGGCAGGCCGCTCTAATAAGCTCGCCAGTACCCGGAGAGCTGGCTTGTCAGTGGTGACTTTGCTGCTGGCGCTGTTCAACTTACCAGGACCACTCCTCCCCGGCATTATCCTGTAGGGAGGAGTCTGTATACCTCTCCGCTTGTTGGCAGAGCTGGTCTAGGTGATACTGTAGCTCATCTCCAGGATCGCCTATCATTGTGTCAGTACTGGTGCCATAGCTCGAGTCACTATATGGCTTACCTTCATCTCCGAGCCGATCAAACACAAAGTCCAGACCTGCAGTCAGGTCGGCCACCGCAGCGCATGCTGCTACGGAGGCTTGCACCGAGGCCAAGTTACAGTCCGACATTGAAGCCGATTCAGTGACAGTGGACTTTGCAGATGCTTGGATAGTGCGCCGCGGCAGAGCCTTTCGAATCCACGCCATGTTGATGCTTGGTGTCTTGCCAGAATCTTGATCAAGCGAGTTTGCACGGGAATCCAATCAGTCAGAAAACCAGGGACTTATTAATAACGGCCATTCTCAGATGCATTAGTGCAAGGCATTCATTGCCCGAGATGTATGGAGGGTGGAAAATACCCATGCACAACCGACATAACCAGGGCAGCTACGACGCCCCGCATCACCCAGCACCATTATCGGTATTCGATTTCGACAAGGCACTCTGCCGTGGCAGTGCATTTCAGCTGAACTGCGGGGGGGTCACCAGACCACCGAGCTACCAATACAGCAATAGATACACATTCTGACATCAATCCAGTCATACCTAGAGGGTCGAAATACCTCCCTTCACCTTGCTTGCTATCGTCTTCAAGGTTGTCTTCTAGGTTCTGAAGCTCATGATATACCCTTACGATGACGTCTCTGCTGAGTCGTATACTGCCCGCTGCCACCCAAAGCGCTTCATCCTCCAGCGGAAGTCATGTCACTGATGCTCCAGAGGTCCCCCGCGTCCAAATTGGGCCCGCGGCAAACCACCTTCGAGATGCCATGATGGTCATGTACTGGGCTGGCGTGAGACGAGAATTGCCGCATATCGTCCAGACACTTCGAAAATGGAGGACTCGAGACGAATACTCAACGACGGTTCACCCCGACGAAGAGGACCGCTACATTCACGGCTATGAAACCTTTCTTGATCAAGTCAACCACACCTCTCGCGGGTTTTCCGACAGGTATCGCAAGCTTCCAAAGCTCAGAGACCCGGCGGAGGAAAGAGATGCCGATCGAGTGCCGACATACTCGGAAGCGCTTGAGGACCGAGGTTGGGACATTTACTCGGAACTGCAGAGCTCTTCCATCCGTCGCTCCATAATGATGGACCTACAAGACCGGGAAGTGAAGGGGGAGGACGTGGTACATCGGCGAGCACGGATGCTACTCCAGTCCGCCCAGTTTCTCGACATGGACAAGATCATCGAGTACCGAGATCCAGAAGCGCTCATTACCTTTTGGAAGCAACCTACGCCCTCACAAGTTACGGTGTCATCCTACGACGAAGGACATATGCCGATTCTTGTTCCTCAAGCGTGCGACTCATGCAGCAAGGCAATAAGAGGGTCGATCTTTCGAAACATCAAGACAGACCAGATGATTTGTGAAGGTTGCTACCGGCGAGACTTTTATGGTCACAAGGACATCACCAAAGTGTATAAACAGTGCTGTCTGCGGAGAGCTGTGTCCGCCGACGATAGCCAGGAGATCTGCAGCTGCATCGATGTATCACGAAGACACGGTGACGGACAGCTGAGAAATCTGTTCCCTGTGAACAATGATCTTTCCAATCCCGAACAGCATCTCAACACCGCCGGTGTGAACGGAAAGATTCGGTGTGGGCTTTATGAGTTGACGGATATGGCAGCAGAAGCCAAATTTGCCTCATGCCGCCACAGAGGGACGAGTCTTACTCTTGGGAAAGCCAAGCGAGAAGGCCGCTACAATCGCCCTCGTCGGGTCAACAACATCAATGGTGAGAATCCAGAGGGAAAGTTCAAGACAACCGAGTTTGGAGCGTCATTTGGAACGACCACCAAAGGGACCGAGGACATCCCCTTTTACCTCAATGATATTGTCAATGACTATCCTTACGGAAATGTGCACATGGCGTTGAGAATTGGCCCGCTTGTGATTGAGAATGGAGTCAGCAAGTGAGTTACTTAGGGGTTCGTGCTTGGAATGCACTGCTAACTGTTGGCAGAACACACGGAGGCGTCCTCATCACCAGTCGGGACCCGCCAAACCTCCATGCTCTCCGAGACCCTTCTGAGGACATCCGGCACTCGCTCTTGGTCACTGGACAAGCAGACAGAACCCTCTATTCGCAGCAACGTCCCCGAGCTCCCAAGAGATACAAGGCAATGCTTAAACAAGTTGCTGGCGGTGTCTTTTGCGGGTTTTTTGAGCAAGAGGCAGAGGAACAAATCATTGACACACTGATGAAGGAGAGCCTTCGGCTTGTCGACAACGGAATCAGCGTGACAGAGAAGAACACCTTGATGGATCAAGCTGTCAACCGGTTGATGGCGCTGCTCAAACCCTACCTGGGACCCCGGATCGAGGTCTACATTGACAGCATCGTTGCCAAATTGCTGGACCCAAACGTGAATCTTCGATGGAGCTTCTCAAACAACAACTGTCAGACCTTTGTCGACAACATTATTGATCGGTCGCTCTTTGGTTCGCTGTTTGCTCCGCATGGACCTAGCAACGTGGAGCAAGAATCAGCCAACATGCCATACCCCCTGTACCTCATGAGCTTTGTCTGCCGACCTGGAGCCTACGTGCCGCAACGAGCTCGCTCCAAATACGATGTACCCAACGGCTTGACAGAGGAATATCTCCTCAAGTTTCGGTACGGACGACATGAAGAGTCCGACATTGCCGATGCTCTCTCAGAATACTGGTATGACTGGGGTGCTTTTGATGGGCCATTGTACCCCTATCAGGATCTGTTCCCTTGGGACTGCACGGAAGCCTTCAACCGGTATCCTGTGACATGTGGTTCGGAGTGCAACATCTCCAAACACGTTTGGGCGTTCCCTTTCGACTCCTGGTCTCTCATCACCCTGCATCTATCCCGACCGAGAAACATGTATCCTCACAATGGATTCCCCGCCGACGACTTGGGAACTCCATCCTTGCTGCACAATCCTTTGTCTAATTTGACAAAACTTGGGTCCGCTACCATGTCGGACACCTCCTGGTTCAAAAACAGACTTGCCATACTTCTCGCCCAAGATACCCTGCTCTCTGCTGCAGCGGCAATGGCCCGTTGTTCGGCCTTTCGACAATCAACGTTCTGGCTTCACAAGCACGCTGATGAGCGAACAGACAGATTGAAATTGGGAGGGATTCACCGCGCTCAGCCGTTTAGCCATCACTTTGAGAAGGGGGCGTATCACCAGTATTTCATCGCTGGCTGGGCTCACTTGTCGCGACCACTGAAGATTGCCGAGTATGAAAAACTTAGAGACTGGAAAGCTACAAGACAAGATGTGGGCAGTTCAGATCACGACAGCGGTGATGGAGGGGGAGGAGGGTGTGGTTTTGCATGCGCAGCTGGTGGAGCGGCGGCTGGAGCGGCATGTACTGGAGCGGCCGGAGATCTTGGAGATACCTGCGGGAGTGGATGCGTAAGTAGCTGTGGGAGTTCAGGTGGAGGTGATGGAGGTGATGGCGCTGGATGTGGAGGATGCGGTGGTTGCGGTGGATGAGTGTTGGGATTGGTCAAGCTTGCTTTTTCTCCACCCAGGTTCGGGATCAGGTTCTTTGCCAATTCATCACACTTCTTAGGAGACAGGAACAGTATTGAAACACTGCCAACATAGCTCTGCCGCGAGATTGTTGTTGACCGAAGCCGAAAAGTAAGCAAATAGGAGGATTGTTCTGGCAAATGTGCATTGCATGTTGCGAAGCCAGGTTGGCATCATCTGTATGGCCAGGCGTCATGTCGAGTTGTCATTATAGCCAGCTATAGGCTACTCTGCTTTGCTGCGTGGATAGGGTAGATGTCAGAGCTAATTGTTTGAACAAACCACATCGTCGCAAATATTGGAGCTCTGCACCCACAGGTTTAAACGGTGTCGTGTACCATATTCACTCGAAGATGAAGTAAACGTGGATGGGTCCTAACATTTTGAGTGGTGCGACAGAAGTTGGGCCTCGGTCGCATCACATCACAGTGATTAGATACCGATCTTGCGACGACGAGGTCTGGCCAAACACAAAGCCTGTGAGCTTGATGAGACTGTGTATATAAGACTGGACGGGGAGCATGGAAACCGCAATCAAGCTCTCTTCACCTCTCACACTCTCACCTACAACACTTCCTGCGACTTCATCTTCCTATCGGTCATTTGTCAATTCCTTCATTGCGAATCAACATTCTACAATCTCACACCATGGCTTCCACTACCGTCGCCCCGACTGTTGATTTCAAAGGTATTGCAATCCACCTCGGCCGCTATTGCTACTCCGTCATCGCCTTCCTCCAGCTCCCCACAGACGTAGCATGGAGGCGCACAGTTTCGGCAATCCAAGCCGCCAACACGGCAACATTCATGGCGATCAACCTCTATGTTCAGTTGTGCATCAACGTCGTGCGGCAATTCATCAACAACTCCTGGAACTCCATCGTGTCATCAGTACAGCAGGCCAGCACTACCGTCATTGCCGTGGTTGAATCTGTCAAGCTCACCGTCGGCCTCGGACTCGACTATCTCTTCAGCGCTGCGACCAACGCCACGAAAGCCTTCATCAGCCTTTTTGTCGACTACCTGCCTACCATTGCTGTCGGCTTCTACTCCGAAATGAGGAAGGAGGTCACGTTTCAACACATGAAGACCATGAACATGGTCCTCTTAGCCTCGAGTCTCGTATGGTTTTATCTTCGAAGATGTGTTGAGGTCGGCACCCCTGCTTTGCCCGCCAAAGACGGCCAGGTGACCAGTACTCGCAAGTGGAGGAGACGTTTTCAAGTTGTCCTTAGGGAGCTCGCCAGTCTCCTTGTCCTCAGTTCTGTCCTCTCCTACGCCGCAATGCCAGAGTGGACCGCCGCCACCATTGCCTCGTGGCTGTCTGCAGCGGCTGACCGACTGAGTTTTCTATCATCGATAGTTATGGAGAGAGTGAACCCCGTTTACGTCGCCGTGGTTGAAGGTACAAATTATCATCTTGGCAATCTCATTGAGGAATGTGTTTCTCGACTGCCACCAATATTGGAGAGAATTGAACCGGTTTATGGTGCCCTTGGTGGAGACAGTATCAGGCTTCAGCTCATCAAATTCGCCGGGGACTGTTTTGAGCGACTCCCACCGCGACCAGACTGGCATCCGTGGGTGGGTATGTCTAGAGATGTTGGAATAGGGGTGTTGGCACCGATTATTCTCGGTGGCCACGGTCCTTCACCTTCTCCCATTTGCGCAGCCAGCAACACCAGCTCAACGCTCATCAAGAGTTCAGCTCCACCAACAATACCGGAACCCGCCCTCTCCTATCAGGGAGACGCTATGGTGGTGTTGCCTTTTTTGATGTATGTTATTGCGGCTTGGGATTTAGTAATGCTGGTGCGGCGACGACAAAGGAAAGGACAGGATCGGGCATGAATAAGGGGGTCAAGGAAAGAGGGTGCATATGTAGATACAGATTCTAAGAAATAGAACAGGAACACAATCTGTTGTTCCTAGTTTATGCCCGATGCCCCACGTCAATATTTTCACTATTTAATAGGTCCACATTCTAAACTGTAAAATAGGTTAATAGAAATATATTTAAAGAACTTGTGAGGCTGTATCTAAAACCCCTAATACTTATTCTCTAATGGATAGTAGTATAATCCGTTAAAAAGTATATTGAAAAAACGTCCTGTTGTGAGCCTCCGAGTGTGACGAACCTCTATCTAGAATCTCTGAAAGGGATACCGGTTGAAGGCTCTTCTGAACAATCCTGGTTCGGTATAGCTAGTCAGTGTACAATAAATGGCTTATCTCGATCACAATAGCTAAGATACTAACGATTGTAACTTATATTGCATACTGCGGAACTATCTATCTACACTAGCTAGTTCCTCCGTATATATAGACCCAATGCCGAGCCCGGCACTATCCTAGATCGATAGACTCGACTATCGATCCTATCGATATTATTCCTTTTGGGGTTGACTCCCCTAGATCGATCCTCGATCCCCTTAACGTATATTATAAGCGAGTCGTATATATAAGCGAGTCGTACAGTCTCTACCACGACGCGTCCTCCTTACACCTAGCATTAATTTTTTCCACAGCCCAATATGCCTCCTACTTTAAAGGAAGCTAGGATACTCTTAGCCCTTAAGCCTCCGAGCTGCAGCTAAACTCTACAACGTACTAGCTATGACTCTCTCTAACCGACGCGCCGGCCGGCCTACACGACGCGATATATGTGACAAGGGCTGTAATATTAGGGCTTGGAACTCATGGTTCAATTCAGGCTAATAATCTTCAATGGCCTCGAAGAGCGTGATAAAGAAGAAGAAGGTCTAGGAATACAAATAGCTTTTGAGAACGCGTCTTTATCCTTCGCCCAGTGGTCCGTGCATTGTGGCCTTAGGCCGCTACTAAGTCTTTCAATATCTCAGGTTAACTAATATTATTC